TAACATAGAAGAACTTCAACGCGACGTATTGAGTTAAGGCAGTGGGCTTCCAGAACTAACAGCGTCCATATCTAACGCGTCAAAGGAAATGTCTCACTATATCGCCGAAGACAAGGAAGTGCCTGCCCTGAGTCTAATTTGGCACACAGAAAGAGACTATTTAATGTTTGCAGTAAATCTAAACAAGCCAGCACCATATCTTTCCAAAAGAGCATACTTATCCGATTCAAGTGTTCTATTCGATCCGCTAGGACTTCTATCTCCTTGCACAATAAAGTAAAAAATTTGGTTTCAGGATTTTTGGCGTTCTAACGTCGATTGGGATGATCCAGTTCCGATGCCTATAGCGGGTGAATGGTGTCATTATCGAGAACGGTTAAAGTTGTTTTCAGACTAAAAGCTTAAAAGGTAGACAGGTATTTGTGCGAAGGGTGCATGCACGCAGTTGCATCTATTTGCAGACTCATCAGAGTGGGCATTCGTCGCTGTTATTTATGCTCGCACTATACAGCCATATGGAGAAATAATTGTCGCTTTGGTTAGTTCTAAGACCAAGGTAGCACCGCTGAAAGTTACTACACTTCCTCATATTCAATGCTTTGCGGTGCAAACCTCGCAGCTAAGCTAGCGAAAACGATTATGGACAACTTGCCTAACCAAACTTATCCGATGTTCGCGTCGCAGACACTCAAGAAATTTTAAGGGCTGAATCGTGGAATCACATACGTTCCGAAATTAATCCCGCTGACTGCGCTTCCAGAGGTTTAACTCCGCTTGAACTGATGGAGCATCGGTTAAAGTGGAATGGTCCGGAATTCCTTAGCAGTTCAGAGGAATTTTGGAGGCTTAAGTCTCCATCGACGCACACAAAAAACTTGGAACTTCAAGCAAGTAAACTATCCGCCCACGTTGTGAGCTCGAAAGAACACTGGTCAGTATTCACCAACCTCTCATCATAATAAAGGCTGAAACGAATTATCGCTTATGTCCTACGGCTTATCAGCAACTTCAGAGCTGCTATAATACATAGTTATGTAAAGGCAACCAGGCCCCTTTTGTGGAATGAGATTACTAACGCTGAAGACGCTCTGATAAGGTATACGCAAAATTACTATTTTTCTAATGAAATTTCCCATTGCAGAGATAAATCGCAAAGTCGGTGCCCAGGTTATGGAAGACTTGCTACCAAGTTGTGTCAATTTTTCTCGTTGCTTCTTGCGGAGCGCTGTCGACTTCCCAGGTCCCTATCTTTACAAATTTTCAAATGGAAGAGGAGACTAATCTGTTAAAGGTTATATTTGTTCGTTGGTGATTTATCTTCGGCTTCATTCCTCAACGCCTTCATAAGGTTTATCAATCGCCATGGGTTTTGCAAAGTCGTGTATTACGATAACGGCACGAATTTTATTGGAGCGGAGAAAGAGTTAAGAAACATGTTTGAACGTTGCATCGCGGATGAAAAGATCAGTGCATTTTTTGCCGACTCCAGCACCTCGTGGAAATTCAATCCTCCAAGCACTCCGCACATGGGAGGTTATTGGGAAATCGGCATAAAGCGTATAAAATACCATCTAAAAAGAGTTTTTAGTGATCATTTGCTACCGTACGAAGAATTTAGTACGTTGCTAACTGAAGTTGAAGCCTGTGTAAACTCACGACCGTTGTGCACCCATGCTGCAAGTCCTAGTGACTTAGAAACCCTGACCCCTGACCCCACTCCCAGAACCTGATATGCCGGAATTTAAAGGAAACTTGCATCAACGCTGGCACGGTATTTCTTCAAAGCGACAACACTTTTGGAAATGCTGGCGTGACGAATATCTCGTGCATTTACAACGTCGAACGAAATGGTTCCGGACATCGCCTAATTTATTGCAAAATGATATCGAATCCACACCGCCAACGAAGTGGAAGCCCGCTCGGGTCTTGAAGTGTCATCCCGGAGCTGATGGTCAGGTATGTGTAGTCACTCTTAGGACGGCTGAAGGTGAACTCGTACGGCCGGTGGTCAAACTTGCTTGTTTCTAAATAAAGGGCACCTGTTCTTGGACGAAGTACAATAACCGGCTTTTCAACTAAACTTAAATTTTGTATTATTGCATATTTTACATAATGAATAATATAAGCATGGTAATTTAGTTGTAAGATTGTTGGATATTTAAAAGTAAAATGTGTAAGTT